AACACGTCCTAGGGAAGCGCAGGGGCCCTGTTGGGGCCTCTATAAACTTCTTCCCGACGTACGGAGCGCGAGCCCTAATCACGTCGATGGGAAGTGGGGGGGGGGGTCAGACATTTGTGACGATGTGGGGGGGGGGGGCTTGAGAAATGTGACGTCACATCAAAATGCGCAACTTTAAATAAATATAGACGACACGTTCTACTTAATTAAATAGACTTTTTAATAAATGTTTTCTCCTACAACATCAGAGTGCAGCGCCACATTAAATACGCGCTACAATGGCAATAGTTTAAAGCGATTTGAAGCATGTTTAATTTGGGGGGGGGGGCAGAGCTTTGTGACGTCATATTTGAGGGGGGGGGGTCTGACGTTTTGTGACGCCGTGTGACGAAGGGGGGGGGGGGGTCGAATATCGTCCAAAATCGCGTGACGTCATTTATGGACTTCCCAAAGTGAAACAATACCGAGTGGGTTACTGAGAAGGATGGAGGTCACGTGGCCACGAGTTACAATTTGTGAGTCGCATCCCTGGGCCAGCTTCCAGGGCAGATCTTGGGAGGCCACGTGTCCCGCTGTGGCCACGTGTCCCACTGGGGCCGCGTGTCCCGCTGGGAGGCCACGTGTCCCACTGGGAGGCCACGTGTCCCACTGGGAGGCTACGTGTCCCACTGGGAGGCCACGTGTCCCACTGGGAGGCCACGTGTCCCACTGGGAGGCCACGTGTCCCACTGGGAGGCCACGTGTCCCGCTGTGGCCACGTGTCCCACTGGGGCCGCGTGTCCCGCTGTGCGGCCGCAGTGGTGGTGGTGGCGGCATCAAGAAGGGCTTTGGCCGTGATGACATCGAGATGTTAACTACCTCGCCTGGTATTCAGGAGGTCCTGGGTTCGATCCCGACCCTGATGCCTGCTGGACATTTGGAGTTTGCGTGTCCTCTCTCCCCCGTGGTTGAGTGGATTTTTCCCCGTGTCCTCCGGGTTTTCCCTCCACATTTAGAATCAACTTCACGCGTTTCGAGTGTTCGGCTGCTATAATTTCCACGTGATAAGCCACTTCCGTTGAGCTTTCATTTGTGATAGTCGGGTCGCTTCTGGAAAAGAGCTATGTATCGCTCAGTGGGCCTTACTTGGTAAAATTGTTATTTATATATACTGTATTCGGGGGCTATGGATAATTGGCCACTGATTGCCTCATGTGCCATTGCATTGTGAGAAGTGTAAACACAGTGCCGAGACTGGAGCTAACGAACCTACGCTTCGGTTTCGTTGAAGCCACAGGTGAAACATTTTCAGAGATAACTTCGTTACTGTGCCAAGGCCCAGTCCATCCGAGACAAATCCCTCCCCCTGCCATACCGGCATCGCACCGGCCCCTCACCCTTCGCCCTGAGGGTGGTGGGCCCACAGGACGGGTGAGGAGCTCGGCCACCCGGGAGAGCCTCAGAGTCGAGCCGCTGCTCCTCCGGATCGAGAGGAGCCAGTCGAGGTGGTTCGGGCACCCGGTAACGATGCCCCCCGGTAGACTCCCCCTGGAACTCTACCGGGCAGCAGCAGCAGCAGCAACGTCCCACTGGGCGAAGACCCCGGGGCCGGCCCAGGACACGCTGCTGCTGCTGCTGGCGGGACGACGTCGCTCGGCTGGCCTGGGAACGCGTGGGGATTGCCCAGGAAAAGCTAGAGTCTGTGTATAGTAGTGTATAGTGCAGTAGTGTAGTGTATAGTGTAGTGTATAGTAGTGTATAGTGTAGTATATAGTATTAGTGTATAGTGTAGTAGTGTATAGTGTAGTAGTGTATAGTGTAGTAGTAGTGTAGTATATAGTATTAGTGTATAGTAGTGTATAGTGTAGTAGTGTATAATAGTGTAGTAGTGTATAGTGTAGTAGTATATAGTGTAGTGTATAGTGTAGTAGTGTATAGTAGTATATAGTATAGTAGTGTATAGTGTAGTATTTAGTGTAGTGTATAGTGTAGTAGTGAATAGTGTAGTAGTGTATAGTGTAGTAGTATATAGTGTAGTGTATAGTGTAGTGTATAGTGTAGTAGTATATAGTGTATAGTGTAGTAGTGAATAGTGTAGTAGTGTATAGTGTAGTAGTATATAGTGTATAGTGTAGTAGTATATAGTGTAGTGTATAGTGTAGTAGTGTATAGTAGTATATAGTGTAGTGTAGTAGTGTATAGTGTATAATAGTGTGTAGTGTATAGTGTAGTGTATAGTGTAGTAGTGTATAGTGTAGTAGTGTATAATAGTGTGTAGTGTATCATAGTGTAGTGTATAGTAGTGTGTAGTGTATAGTGTAGTAGTGTATAATAGTGTAGTGTATAGTAGTGTATAGTGTAGTAGTGTATAGTAATGTAGTGTATAGTGTAGTGTAGTAGTGTATATTGTAGTAGTGTATAATAGTGTAGTGTATAGTGTAGTGTATAGTAGTGTATAGTGTAGTGTATAGTGTAGTAGTGTATAGTGTAGTAGTGTGTAGTGTATCGTAGTATATAGTCGTGTACAATGTAGTGTATAGTGTAGTAGTGTATAGTAGTAGTGTATAGTAGTGTAGTGTATAGTATAGTAGTGTATAGTAGTAGTGTATAGTAGTGTAGTAGTGTATAGTAATGCATAGTAGTGTATAGTAGTGTATAGTGTAGTAGTGTATAATAGTGTATAGTGTAGTAGTGTATAATAGTGTATAGTGCAATAGTGTATAATAGTGCGTAGTGTAGTAGTGTTGAGTAGTGTATAATGTAGTGTATAGTAGTGTATAGTGTAGTAGTGTATAGTGTAGTAGTGTATAGTGTAGTAGTGTATAATAGTGTATAGTATAGTAGTGTATAGTGTAGTAGTGTATAATAGTGTAGTGCATAGTAGTGTATAGTGAAGTGTATAGTAGTGTATAGTAGTGTATAGTGTAGTGTATAGTAGTGTATAGTGTAGTGTATAGTAGTGTATAGTAGTGTAGAGTGTAGTGTATAATAGTGTATAGTGTAGTAGTGTATAAAAGTGTATAGTATAGTATAGTAGTGTATAGTAGTGTAGTGTATAGTGTAGTGCAGACATGGGCAAAGTACGGCCCCCGGGCCGTATACGGCCCCTTGGGCTTTTTAATCCGGCCTGCCGAACTTGTCCAAATATTATTATTATTATTAAATAAAATTTTACCTTTCTCCTGTAATGCCCCCATTTCCCCATTAGATGGCGCACTTTGACCGGGAGTTACGGCATGTTTTTGTATCGTTCATGTTCGTGCAATTTGTTAAATTGCCTTGCAAATAAATGCTTTGCTACCTGTTAAAGGCCAAATCCTTTCATGTAATGATTTTTACACGTCATTTATATATTTAGTTCACACAAACACTCCATCCATCTGTTCCTGGCCCGGCCCCTCTGTCAAATTGTAGAACCCATTGTGGCCCGCGAGTCAAAACATTTTCCCACCCCTGGTGTAGTGTATAGTATAGTGTATAGTATAGTAGTGTATAGTATAGTAGTGTATAGTGTAGTAGTGCTGGAGTCCGTCGCCAGGGAAAGGAAGGTCTGGATCGTCCCACTCCACACGCTGCTGCCGCGACCCTCACCGGGACAAGCGGATTGAGAAATTAACGAACGCGCGAATTCAAATAAAAACCGCGCATTCCAGCGACTTTTCTATCCTGAAAACGACTCACCCGCTTGACACGCAAACACATGCTGAAGTGACGGCTTTCATGAACCACGTACAAAAGCTCGATTTGCGCTTTAATTAAAATAAAAAAAATCAAACTCGGAGAGCAAACTGAGATACATTCCTTTGTGCACTAAAATAACTCAAGAGTGGAGTCCATACAGGACCTAAACAAAGACAAAGATCCCCCGTATAGCCTTAACTGACTGTTGGGGCAAGTGCTGTTAGCGAGCACCTATGAAGGCCGGAACGGCACACAAGGGGGGTGGGTGGCCAGCACCAAGCCCGACCGCCTTTGTCTCCCCAGTAGCGATGCTTACACATCGCACCAGGTACTCATTAGAGGCTAAGTAGACCTAGGGGAGGCCCAAGACCGGTTCAGATAATCGTCACTGGTGTTGGCCGTGAGCGGTAATCGAACTCGGTTTTGCCGGATTCCTAGCGCAGTGCGCTAACCGCTCCAACTACCACTCCCCACAATGTTACCACACACACACAACGCACGCACACATGCACACGACTTCCCACGAGCGAGTAGTGGATCCCAACTAAAATACTCAATGGTGGGTTCTATACGGGATCTAAGCATACGCATTAGGTAATGCGCTTCTTAAACTTTCAGCATAAAGACAGACGTGACGTTGCCGGCACAACAAACTCGTAATATCTTACTGGTGCTGCAAGAGCATAAAGGGCCCGACTAATGGTGAACTGTTTCTAGTTTACCATGCAGAGAAACCAAAAGGGAAAACAAAAAGCTAATTAATAAATAGTCCTAAACAACAGAGCCACACTCTTTGCATTGTAATGCCAAAGTTACATGCGTGTGTGTAGAGAGTAGACATAGTACACATGCGTAGATTGTTACCAGCGCTACCGTTTGTGGATATTGCAACAAGCCAGTGATGAATTGAGAGCGTAAAGCCAGCACATGGGGGTCGTGCATGCGACCCCCTACTCGCACGCCCGCTCTGAGAAACAGGGCGTTGCGTTCGCAGGTGCATATGTACAATTGCCAATGAGAAACACTTACGTATTTAAAACGTTATAATACTTTCGCAATATAAACAAAAAAAACCTGTCGTGGTAAATCGCAAGCCATTTTTTTGTTTAACATTCCACGGCTGATGCCAATTGATTTGCAAATATTTTGTTCACTTTCAATAGTGTAATGTTGCCGATTGAACAACCGCACATTAACAAGATTAAGGACATATTATTTATTTAAACTCTGCTGCTGCTGCTAAGAAGAAATACATATTTCTATTGCTTGCACGCTCATCTTCAGGAAAGTTAAAGGATACATTTTTTTAAAAATAAATATCGGTGTTGAATTTTAGTATCGGCTGCTCTCGGGGGGGGGGGGGTGTCAGCGCGCCTCTCCCTCTCTCTGTCTGCGCCGAATGCAGAGGCCTTCGGTGCAAAGCTTTGGAAGCCGGCACGGCAGTGTGCACACACCAAAGACTCACCACGGCAATCGACTTGCAAGCGCCCCCCAAACTCGACCCCCCCCCACCACCACCACAAAGAACTCCGCGCTATCGGCCACCGTGCGCGTGGGGGCATCACGATATCGCTACGCGTGTGCGCGAACCGCCACGCGGGGAAAGGCGATTTAAATGCATTGCCCACTCTTATTGGTGACCCCCCACCCCCCACCCCCCACCACCGCACCGCAACCTCTCACGGCGGTACAATTGGGTAAAAGCACACAGCAGCAACATCGCTCCTTAGAGGGCAAACTAAACTCATCGTACCCCCGTGAGAACCTTGCACTTTCAGGATGGCGCGGATTCGATGCCTGCAGCTAAATGTGCGTATGTTGAACGTCTTGTGCGCCATATACGTACGCCAACTGTGCTATTTGGAGGTGCGGCGGGGGTGGGGGGGAAGAAACATTGTTTTGAGTTAATTTGGCCGAGCGAACTGGGGGCGGCAGAGAATGAGAAGCGAGGTCAGCGGATCGGAGTTCTGCATGAGCAGCTGAGAGTGTGGGGGGGGGGGGGGGGGGTCTAGGGACAGAAAGGGGGGAGCTCCCGCATGGACGTTCTTCGTCGGACCCAGTCACCGGCAGGGTCCGGGCTGAAGTCCACCACGGTGGACGCGGGTGCCACCGCTGCGGGGCGGACGCAACGTGCCAGCGAAGCGAGTGGGCAGGCAAGTGGCATGCGTGGGCCATTCCTCGTAACGGTAGCTACGCACGAGAGCACGAGGCGCCGCCGTGTGAATCATGCGTCGCGGGTTGGCCGTCTGCAAGAGGACGCTACGTTGTGATCACGAATTATTATCGGTGAATGTAACTATCACGCATCATTGCGTCGGCGGACGAGGTCTGCACGTTTGACGAATGTTCAGGCACACCGCCGCTACTCGACTTGACGGCAACTTGCGCGAATGATACGCGTCCCCGCGACTACCAGACCGTGCGGAGACCCACCCCCCCCCGCACTGCCGTCAGTGCTGCCCCTTGCCTGAAACATCACGTCACGCGTCCCCACGACTGTTGCAAAGAGCCGTGGCAAAGCGCCGAGCGCAACGAGCAGCACGGTCCACGGGGACTGCTGTCGCCCGCGAGCGCGTGTGGAAAACAACGAGATGGTGACCTTGAAGGGGTCAACAGATTGACTTATCGGGCGAACTATAGTTAGATCAAATGCGTTGTTAGTTTTAGCCCCCCCCCCCCCCCCATCATATATATGTATACTGTACATATTAAAGAGTTGGCAAAGATATGATTTCACACCCTATGTTACCGAAACCCGCACAACACAACACACGCATGCCACCGTCCCCACCAGCGCACCCCGGTGGTAGATTCATCCCTGGCGGGTGAACCGCGCGTACTGGGGCACCACGTCCCCCAAGGAGTGGATGGTGGTGGGGGGGATTGGTGGGGGGGGGGGGGGGGGGTGCACAGCTTCCACCCACTTGCAGCCGTGCGTGGAGGGGCACTGGGGGAAACGAGATGGTGGATGGGCGTGCGACGTGCGGCTGCCAGGAGCTACGTGTGGGCTCCCGGGAGGGCTGCCGGGTGGCCTTTCGATCGGGCGACGGGGGCGGCTCAGCTCATCCGCTTGGCCACGTCCGCGTAGGCCAGCTCGATCTCGCGGTCGGCGGGGCACGTGTTGGTGAACTCGTCACGTGCGTACGCGCCGCGCAGGTACTTCCACACGCCCGTCATCTCGGCCGGGATCTCGAAGTCCCGGTATTTCTTCGCCACGATCTGCGACACAAAAGAAAACGAGGTTTTGCTTTTGTCTCTGCTGTTATGAACACCCTCCGCAAACAAGCCATTTGCACCTCCTGGCTCCGACATTCCTCCTCGATAGGCACCAGCGGAACCATCGCCCGCGTCAGGACATCAACAGGCCGACGCGCCCATCGCCATCATGAATGGAAAATTTAGATGCAAGCCACAGCGGTGCGATAGTGGCAATGCAAGGCAATCTTTGGACCGTGCGGGATAGTAAACCACGTTAGTCTGCGCCACTTCAACAGGGGAATGGCCAACCCGCACAAACCCTCTCCTGAAGTCCTCTCGTGGCTGCCCAGACATCTCACCACGTGACCCTACGCAAGGATAGAACATGGAGGAAAACGTACGGGGAACGCCATCGAATATTGGCGTCATGGCATCTCAACGCACGCATTTACTCGCGTCGTTGGAAGTAATTTAAATGGGAATTTTAAATGCCACGTGCGACGTCGCCGGTGAGCCGAGGCAAAAGCTAGGCAAGACGATGTCACCGCGGGTGGCGCGTGTGTGGCACGTGTGTGGCACGTGTGTGGCACGTGTGTGGCACGTGTGTGGCACGTGTGTGGCGCGTGCGGCATCATCACGCTCGCCAAGAAGGCCCAACCATTATCGCTTTTTTTTTAGCGGCAAAGTTTTGGGCTAGCCTTGAATCAATTTGTCCTCTTTTCCTTGAGGGTAGGTGCCGAATGGCAACACACAACTCCATACGAACATTTAATTTACATTTGAGTACCTTTTAAGAGAATTATCACAACCTCACGTTGCAGACAATACAGTTTCAGTTTTCAGTTTATTTATTTTGGTATAGCCCTGTGAGCCATTCGGCTCTTGAATCGGGTGCAACCAAAACAAACAAAAAAACAAAAACACGAACAAGAAAAACATCTTAAAGTGACTATGTGACTGGGAGACAGATGGGCGAGAGCCAATGCATTAATGGTATAAAAAATATATTGTTTTTTACCTTTTTTGGCAATAAACAGGAGGTGTTAAGGTGGTCAAACACCGAATAGAAACCTTTTGCAATTAATCAAGTCTGCATTAACCACACGGTACTTGTGGCAAAAACATGCAAACAAAACATGCTCTGATGATAATATATGACATCGTCTTTGAAACCGATTGGCCTACACCAGAGACAGCCTTTTTATGGCCTAGTCTCACCAGTGTCAGACCAGAGAACACCAAAAGGCGAACAGTGCAAAGACAATGCCACAAGTATCAGGGCATTTATATCTCGGGGTGAGCAGCTGTATTATCATTAATGGTCACGAATAACTTCAAAGAGGCCAAGTTCAGATTGCAGTTGGGACTAGTGTCACAACACGGGTTATGAGTTTTTTTGGGTTAGATCAGGTGATTATGAATATGTCGTTAACCCACCACCACCACCACCCAACACAGCCAATTAGTGAGGTTTGTCATGTAAACAAAAAGGACAGCCTGATGGAAGTTGAAAGCTGTGACTGACACTGCCACCTTCACAATGTGACTGACACTGCCACCTTCACAATGTGACTGACACTGTCACCTTCACAATGTGACTGACACTGTCACCTTCACAATGTGACTGACACTGCCACCTTCACAATGTGACTGACACTGTCACCTTCACAATGTGACTGACATTGCCACCTTCACAAAGTGACTGACACTGCCACCTTCACAAAGTGACAACTGGGACTGTCACCTTCACAAAGTGACTGACACTGACACCTTCACAAAGTGACTGACACTGTCACCTTCACAAAGTGACTGACACTGTCACCTTCACAAAGTGACTGACACTGACACCTTCACAAAGTGACTGACACTGTCACCTTCACAAAGTGACTGACACTGCCACCTTCACAATGTGGCTGGGACTGCCACCTTCACAAAGTGACTGACACTGTCACCTTCACAATGTGACTGACACTGTCACCTTCACAATGTGACTGACACTGTCACCTTCACAAAGTGACAACTGGGACTGCCACCTTCACAAAGTGACTGACACTGTCACCTTCACAAAGTGACTGACACTGCCACCTTCACAATGTGACTGACACTGACACCTTCACAATGTGACTGACACTGTCACCTTCACAATGTGACTGAGACTGTCACCTTCACAAAGTGACTGACACTGCCACCTTCACAAAGTGACTGAGACTGCCACCTTCACAAAGTGACTGACACTGTCACCTTCACAAAGTGACTGACACTGCCACCTTCACAATGTGACTGACACTGTCACCTTCACAAAGTGACTGAGACTGCCACCTTCACAATGTGACTGACACTGTCACCTTCACAAAGTGACTGACACTGCCACCTTCACAAAGTGACTGACACTGTCACCTTCACAATGTGACTGACACTGCCACCTTCACAAAGTGACTGACACTGTCACCTTCACAATGTGACTGACACTGCCACCTTCACAAAGTGACTGAGACTGCCACCTTCACAAAGTGACTGACACTGCCACCTTCACAAAGTGACTGACACTGGCACCTTCACAATGTGACTGACACTGCCACCTTCACAAAGTGACTGACACTGCCACCTTCAGAAAGTGACTGACACTGGCACCTTCACAATGTGACTGACACTGTCACCTTCACAAAGTGACTGACACTGGCACCTTCACAAAGTGACTGACACTGCCACCTTCACAAAGTGACTGACACTGTCACCTTCACAAAGTGACTGACACTGCCACCTTCACAAAGTGACTGACACTGTCACCTTCACAATGTGACTGACACTGCCACCTTCACAAAGTGACTGACACTGCCACCTTCACAATGTGACTGACACTGCCACCTTCACAATGTGACTGACACTATCACCTTCACAAAGTGACTGACACTGCCACCTTCACAAAGTGACTGACACTGTCACCTTCACAATGTGACTGACACTGCCACCTTCACAAAGTGACTGAGACTGCCACCTTCACAAAGTGACTGACACTGCCACCTTCAGAAAGTGACTGACACTGGCACCTTCACAATGTGACTGACACTGCCACCTTCACAAAGTGACTGACACTGCCACCTTCAGAAAGTGACTGACACTGGCACCTTCACAATGTGACTGACACTGTCACCTTCACAAAGTGACTGACACTGGCACCTTCACAAAGTGACTGACACTGCCACCTTCACAAAGTGACTGACACTGTCACCTTCACAAAGTGACTGACACTGCCACCTTCACAAAGTGACTGACACTGTCACCTTCACAAAGTGACTGACACTGCCACCTTCACAAAGTGACTGACACTGCCACCTTCACAATGTGACAACTGGGACTGTCACCTTCACAATGTGACTGACACTGTCACCTTCACAAAGTGACTGACACTGCCACCTTCACAATGTGACTGAGACTGCCACCCTCACAAAGTGACTGACACTCCCACCTTCACAAAGTGACTGACACTACCACCTTCACAAAGTGACTGACACTGCCACCTTCACAAAGTGACTGACACAGCCACCTTCACAAAGTGACTGAGACTACCACCTTCACAAAGTGACTGACACTGCCACCTTCACAAAGTGACTGACACTGCCACCTTCACAATGTGACAACTGGGACTGTCACCCTCACAAAGTGACTGACACTCCCACCTTCACAAAGTGACTGACACTACCACCTTCACAAAGTGACTGACACTGCCACCTTCACAAAGTGACTGACACTGCCACCTTCACAATGTGACAACTGGGACTGTCACCTTCACAAAGTGACTGACACTGTCACCTTCACAAAGTGACTGACACTCCCACCTTCACAATGTGACTGACACTGACACCTTCACAAAGTGACTGACACTGCCACCTTCACAATGTGACTGACACTACCACCTTCACAAAGTGACTGACACTGCCACCTTCACAATGTGACAACTGGGACTGTCACCTTCACAATGTGTAGCTTGGGCAGGAGGTTGCAGTCGGCGAGGGTCAGTTCATCGCCGTCCAGGAACTTGCGCGGGGAGATTCCGTCATCCCCCATGCTGCAGTCATCGATCTCTTCCGGAAGGGGCGACAGCAGGTAGTCGTCCAGCTTCTTGAAGGCCTTGAGCAGAGCCTTCTCGAGATCTGCCGGTGGACACGGAGATTGCGGCGGACGCTGCGGTTAAAACCCCTGCAAGCCGGACCCGGCGAAAGTCAGAAGTAAAGGCTCCCTGAAAATAGATGAAAAGTCGGAAAAAATGGCAGCGGAACGCTAAACTTGCCCTAATTATGCTGTGGATCGGAGGATGCGGATTTCTGTGGCCATGAGGCATCCATTGGCCATCGCTTCACAGTTTGCATCGGTTTACAGAATGGTTTCCTTGTGATGACCTTGCACTCTCTTATAAATGGGCAATAATTGTATAAATATATGAAGATATTAATTAGTAAAAAAAAAATACAACTTTACTTTTTACCTGGAACCTGAAACTTTTCCCTCTAGTTGACACTAATAATTTAAAAATTTACTCAGATTAAACTTGAGTGATGTTTGCAGAGTTATTCATTTTGTATATATACATATTTTACAAAGTTATTAGCATTTGGTTATTACTCTTTGGGTCTTTCGGTAAAGTAACGTAGATAGAAAAATTATAAAATTATACAAAATCATGACGTTTTGATCGCAACAAAAATACAGCAGGCGGACTGCTGAGGCAGGAAGACATTATATTTCTTCCTGCCTCAGCAGTCCGCCTGCTGTATTTTTTCACTTGAGGACGATTGTTTGTTTCGCGATCGCAACGTCGTGATTTATTTTATTTTGTAATTTTTCTATCTACGTGGCTTTACCGAAAGACCCAAAGAGTATGGATTCCTGCAGTCACGAAAGCTTTAATTCAACATTTGGTTATTATTTATTGAGCACTAAATGTTAATTAAAGTGAATGTATTTAAGCGTATTAATTTACTGTCTACAAAATATTTGTAGGATGCTGGAACACTCCTATCACCGGAAAGATCCTCCCCCCTCGTTTAACCTGGCCTTCGAGAGGCTTTACTAAACTATCAACAGCAGGCTAATTTTACCCCACATCAGTGACGGACTGGGACAAAAAATTGTCCCCTGGCATTTTGTAAACAGCAGGGCCCAAATTGACGTGCGATCTCATTGGGCCCAAGAACCAAATGGGGCCGGTGAGGAAGTGATCTTTCGGGCTGCTGAACATGGGGCCTGAATGGCAGCTGAGAGCGTAAATCAGCAGTGAAGCAGACACATATTAGACGTAATAACATTTTAATAAAAACTATATTTTATTCTGATCACATTTGCAATTTCCCCACACAGACCGGCCCGCCAGCCCTCAGAATGCACAGGCCCACCAGGCACACACACACAAAACTTCCCACGAGCAAGTAGCTGAACTTGCAAGGTCGCTTGCCGATACTCACTCTCTAGTCGTTTGTTAGTGGCGTGGTGAATCATTTCCTTATTGCTGCGGATCCAATAGGAATGTCAAATACCTTTGGCGAGCAGCCACACATTAACACACACACACACACTTCAGTCACTTGTATCACTCCAAGATGCCCTTGTGGTGATATAAGTGATTGAGCGGCCTAAACTTAGACACAGTGTTACCGGGCAAAACAAAAATACGCCCCTCTAGTAACTGATTAGTGCGACTAAGATGCTAATTGCAGTCACAGATCAATGTCACTGCAATTGAAGCGTTTGGCCTCGTATGACCGTGGCCTCTATGAAGTGATGTTGCAGGTCATATAGGTGCCGCCACCCCCCGACCTCTGATGTAATGCTGTGTACTTGCTATCATTGGTATAAACTTTGATCACCAAAACTACGTGTAGTATAATAATATTTAGCCAGCGTTGTTTGATGGGTGCGCTGAGGTTCGTGAGAGTTGCGGCGCCAATGCACGCACAGGCGTTCACTCATCTGCGGATTTAGATGCTCCGTTACGTACTGTCATTGGCCTCCTTCTTGGCGTTTTTGATGTAGGCCGAGAACTTGGCAAAGACATCGTTTCCCGCCAGGTTCGACTCCCGATGCCTGGCCGCCAGCCGCACGTAACTGCAAGAGTAGCAATGCACCGCGCAGAGAGAGAGAGAGAGAGACAACGAGCAGACATCGGTGATGCAGTGCCCCTTCAACGATAATGGCATGAGCGAACTGGTACAATTACCGGCATTAAAAGGGCGCCCGATGATACCGTGGCATAACCTAGCAATGTCGCACTCTGCACTGCACACAGCGATGGATGCTTCACGTTTCTGCGCAGTGCCTTGAGACGCGGTGGCATTTAGACGCTCTGTGAATCCGCATTGTATTGTATCAAATCATTACAATGTTGTGTTGTAATATTGTATTGTGCTACAATATACATTATATTCTCGATTTGAAGCTTTCGTGACTGCAGGAATCCACACTCTTTGGGTCTTGTGATGAAACACAATGTAATGTAAAGGGTGGTCCAGATGTCTTGTGACCCCCCCCCCCCCCACCAATTAATTGACTCCTAAAATGTTTTCCCTTTGCATGTTCATTTCTTGATTTAAAGCTTTCATGACTGCAGTAATTCATATTCTTAGCTCTTTCGGTAAAGTCACGTTGAAGGGAAACAATAAAATGTATATAAAACAATAAAAATTCCCACGACGTTTCGACCATAACACAAACGGTCGTCATCAGGTGTGTCGGTTTGAATTAATTTATTTTAAAAGGTGTATTTATTTATTTATAAAAAACCGTCAGCGCCACGCGCAGAGATTTGGCAGTTTATTTAGATGGACTAGTCCATCTATGTCCTTCTAAATAAACTGCCAAATCTCTGCGCGTGGCGCTGACGTTTTTTATAAGTAAATAAATCGTTTAAAAATAAATTAATTAATGCAAACCGACACACCTGATGACGACCGTTTGTGTTATGGTCGAAACGTCGTGAGAATTTTTATTGTTTTATATACATTTTATTATTTTATTGTTTCCCTTCAACGTGACTTTACCGAAAGAACAAGAATATGTTCATTTCTGTTTTAAATAAACCTTATTTTATACTTTCATAAGTATTACGTTTTACAGAATTAAAGGGGAGGGGGTCACAAAACATCTGAACCACCCTGTACAATGTGCATTGTATTTGTAACCTGTGTGGTTATGTACTTGTTAAATGGTGCATATTTTCACGCTTCAGTATTGTAAGGAGAACCTCCTTTATTTTCTTTTGAAGATTTTTGACAAAGTGCTGCGCAATTGTGTTATCAATTGATTCATTATTTATCTATGTTTCTATCAATATTAATGATTTAATATGTTCTTGTAACATTTATTAAAGTAGCGTGTTTAAATATAACTGTTTTAGGGTGAAAAAGGTCAACTTCCGATCGTTTTGGAACAAATTAAGCATTTAACACGGATTTCCTATATTCGATTAACAGTAATTTCAATTAACGATGATTTTACTGGAATCAATTAATATCGTTAACCGAGGGACCACTGTAAAATTGTATCTTAATACATTGCAATGTACAGTACAGTGCAACACAAAGCACCATACACCGTGTTGGAAGACACTATAATGCAATGTACGATATAGAATGTGCATTGTGTTGTATACACAATATCATGCTGGGGCACAGCATGTGCAAAGCCGCGACAAAGCTGTACTTTGGGGGTGAGAGCTGCTCCTCCAGGAACTCCTCAATCTTGTTGACGTCGGTCTTCACTTCGCCGTTGAACGTCAGGAATGGAGGGTGCGTGCCTGGGGCCAGGTTCTGCAGTTCCGGTGGCTTCCTGTGACAACATTCCCACAGGTAGGTGCGTCAGACTTACGAACGAATGAACGCAAGGACGCCCCGGTAAACATGCGCCGCTGGGCCAGTGGTTGGTTGGCATGTGGCTGGGACCGTTGGAACGATGTTGGCCCAATGTTGTTCCAATGTTCCATGATTACTCGGACATTGTGACTCCTTGCCACGTGCATTCATATATGGTTGTTTTTTTTTAAGAGAGAGTGGTAATTCATCAGCTTAATCCAGAGCGTAGTAGGCCAGGGGAAATGATGCATCAGATGGGAATGTGAGTTCTGTATCGATGTGCCAAAGACACCCACCAGGGTGGTACTTTTAGGAGGGAGTACAAACAACAAGTTTCATGATCCATCTTCACAAACTTTGAGTGATGTCCCTTGTTTGTGAGTTTTATTTTTCCCTAGACACTCCGATTTCCTCCGGTACACTGATTGACTGAAAGAGGACTTCATAAAACCATCCGATACAGTGTTCTCCTGCAAAGTACACCTTGTGATACAGCAATGCTTCTCTCATTTAAACAAACTATAATTTCAGAGGCCTACGGCCGCCTTATTCTAGCTCCCGTGGAGGGCTTCTCGGCGCTACGCACCTCGCCCGTCGCCCCCACTGATGTCCTCTCCCCACACCATGTGTGCAGATACTACTGACTAGTGTATGTAGGGTGTGTAGGCATATATAGTCAGTATATAGTAGATACTACTGACTAGTGTATGTAAGGTGTGTAGGCATGTATATAGTCAGTAGATAGTAGATACTACTGACTAGTGTATGTAAGGTGTGTAGGCATATAGTCAGAAGATAGTAGATACTACTGACTAGTGTATGTAAGGTGTGTAGGCATATAGTCAGTATATAGTAGATACTACTGACTATTGTATGTAAGGTGTGTAGGCATATAGTCAGAAGATAGTAGATACTACTGACTAGTGTATGTAAGGTGTGTAGGCATGTATATAGTCAGAAGATAGTAGATACTACTGACTAGTGTATGTAAGGTGTGTAGGCATGTATATAGTCAGAAGATAGTAGATACTACTGACTAGTGTATGTAAGGTGTGTAGGCATATAGTCAGAAGATAGTAGATACTACTGACTAGTGTATGTAAGGTGTGTAGGCATATAGTCAGAAGATAGTAGATACTACTGACTTGTATGTAAGGTGTGTAGGCATATAGTCAGAAGATAGTAGATACTACTGACTTGTATGTAAGGTGTGTAGGCATGTATATAGTCAGAAGATAGTAGATACTACTGACTAGTGTATGTAGGGTGTGTAGGCATATAGTCAGAAGATAGTAGATACTACTGACTAGTGTATGTAAGGTGTGTAGGCATGTATATAGTCAGAAGATAGTAGATACTACTGACTATTGTATGTAAGGTGTGTAGGCATGTATATAGTCAGAAGATAGTAGATACTACTGACTAGTGTATGTAGGGTGTGTAGGCATATAGTCAGAAGATAGTAGATACTACTGACTAGTGTATGTAGGGTGTGTAGGCATATAGTCAGAAGATAGTAGATACTACTGACTATTGTATGTAAGGTGTGTAGGCATATAGTCAGAAGATAGTAGATACTACTGACTAGTGTATGTAAGGTGTGTAGGCATATAGTCAGAAGATAGTAGATACTACTGACTAGTGTATGTAGGGTCTGGTGGCAGTAGATAGTAGATACTACTGCCTTGTATGTAGAGGGAGTAGGCATATATGCCTACATATACTATTTACTATTGTATGTAGGGTGTGTAAGCATACAGTCAGTAGATAGTAGATATTGCTGACTATTGCATGTAGGGTGTGTAGGCATATAGTCAGTAGACAGTAGATATTACTGACTATTGAATGCAGGGTGTGTAGCCATATATGCCTACAGATACTGTTGACTATTGTATGTAGGGGGGTCCACTTTCTATAACTTTTTAATTCAAGCCTTCTGAAAGGCTCTTATAATTTACTTGACGGGCAAACGGAACGCTGAGCTTTCAAAATCGATAAATTACCATGATTCATAATAGATTTTTGGGTCAGATCCTCGAACCGACACAGCCAATGAATAAAAAAATGTCACGTGAACACACGTGTCAGTTTATTACTGCTTCAGCACCACGGGTTTGTTGTGTAGGAGACCCATCGACAACGTTTAACAATTGTGGTGCAGACCTTTTCCTGGCAGTGACAGCCAGCATCGTCAGGCAGCAGTCAGAATACTGACAATGTCCTCCAGTCGCGGGGCTTAAATAGGTAGCGTGATGTCATCAATGTGCGCCCACACACGCATTTTACACGCGAAATCGGACTCAAATAGCAATCGTGGATCAATTTGGTTTCGGAAGCCCGCGTTTTGAAAATAAATTACCACGTTCTCTTACTGTAACGTTCACATCAGGGTTTTAAAACGACTACGACACCATGTATGCATGTATGTTGAACTTCTTTCGCACTGTACGTAGCCAACCGTGCTAGTCATTAAATCAAATCACAGCGACTGGTTCGCGCTCGGAATACCGGGGAGAAAACATAAACCCCACGCGGTGCGCACATCCGTACGCGCGAACTCGTGCGACGTGTGGTCAACAGGAGTAGATCGAGTGGTGTCGTAAGCACGCCTGCCGACTAACCGCACAGGGGTCGGCAAAGGTGACGCTAGCGTTTCCTCAGGAAAGCGCACAACGCCCCCACAAATATGCTGCGAGCACAGTGGGGCACACACATCACCTCGAATACCAAATGCCACGGATGTTACTTTGATTCCAGGAAACTTATACGCCCACCACAGTCCACCCATCAAACCCTCCACATACGTTTATAGACACAGCGTTTAAACGCGCACTTTTGTGCGGCCATTGTCAGTCCACTGCATGCACGTACGCACGCACATGCATGTTGAATTTATTTTGCACCGTACGAAACCAACTGTGCTCATCGGAGGTGGGACCTGTCGTAGGCAGCTATTTGACCTATCTGTTATATCGACTGCCAGCAGTTGAAACCAGGGTTCTTACCGCTCCCCACTGCCACACACATCTAAGATAGCTGCAGTTCACACTGCCAATGGAAAGTGAGCCTCCATTAAATGTCAGTCTTCTGTCAACACGGGCTCTTATGTTGCTGGTGTTTTCCATTCGCGACGCATGGGCCACCGTTACAAAATAGATTTTTCTGTGTTGACGATGGCGATTGCGTCAATCCATAATAAGCAGCCGTTTGTGCACGCAGCAATGAGCCTATAAAACACTACCCCCATCGCCCAAGTGGTAATGGAAAGGGGATCTATCTCAGTGCGTTTCAGATGAGAAACAATCAAAATGCAGTTTATTCTCCTTTAACGCAGTAGTTGCATTCCTGAAGAACACCGCATTATGGGAACATCGCGTGATAATTAATAATATATAATGTAAGGTAAGGCAGAGCCCGCGATAACACGTACGATGCGTACGCAGGCTGAACAAAGACTTGAGGCGCGTGAGTAGCATCTCGAAGCAGCATCCAGCAGTATCCCGCTGCCTTGGGTGATGCTACGCCGAGGCAGCCGTACAACTGCTTACTCCTACTCGCGCGATATATATATCCAATTCACATCCGTGTTGTCAAAAATGTATTCACTAATACAGTAAAAGCTTGGATTGCGAGCATAATTCGTTCCGGAAACGTGTTTGTAATCCAAAGCACTCGTATATCAAATCACTCTTAGTATATCAGTTGTGATCACGTGACGCTCGGTAGTACAAAGCGTATATACGTGCTGCTCGTATTGCAAGACCCTCGCTCGTTTATCAAATTAATATTTACTTAAACATTTTGCTCGTCTTGCAAAACACTCGCGGACCAAGTTACTCGCAATCCAAGGTTTTACTGTAACTTTCCATCGCGTTATAAACCAATTCGCATTATGAAAACGCGGCGTTAGAGGAGAACAGACTGTACGTGTATCGCTTCCATAATACAATCTACCAACATCGTAAACACACCTATTGTACGATGCACTCTACAGGACTCTATCCTCATTCAGAACAGTTTTTTTTTAGACAGATTGCGGTAAGTAAAACATGTGTCATGCACCCTCCACCAGCCGACACAGCCCAATTAATGAAGTTTGTTACTTGAACAAACGTGGCCATGTTGTTACTGCGTCAGCACTCCCCAATGTGTCATGTTGCAGAGCAATCCACACACATTTAACAATTGTTGTACAATGCCTCGCTGGTAGTTACAACCAGCATCGTTGCCAGAAATTATGAATTGCGATAAGGGGCCGCCCATAAATGACGTCACGCGATTTTGGACCATTTTTGAGCCCCCCTCCCCTCGTCACACGGAGTCACAAAAAGTCAGAACCCCCACCCTCAAATATGACGTCACAAAGCTCTGCCCCCCCCCCCCCCCCCAAAACCATATTTCCATTTTGAAAATAAAATATGCTTCACTTCAAATCGCGTAGTGCGTATTTAATGTGGCGCTGCACTCTGATGTTGTAGGAGAAAACAATTATTAAAAAGTATATTTAATTAAGTAGAACGTGTTGTCTATATTGATTTAAAGTTGCGCATTTTGATGTGACGTCACATTTCTCAACCCCCCCCTCTCTCGTCACACATCGTCACAAATGTCTGACACCCCCCACCCCCCCCCAGGTGCGTGACGTCATTTATGGACGGCCCCTAAGGGGTGGGGTTTAAGGCATGCAATTACTTATGCAATCCAACTCAAAACAAAAAAAATCAGTTAATGAATCGTACAATCGGTGGCGAAAGGCTAAGTGTTAAAACGAATATTCATATTCTTAGCTCTTTCCGTAAAGTCACGTTGAAGGGAAACAATAAAATAATAATATATATATAAAACAATAAAAAACAATAAAAAACGAACTTTCTTTTTTGGATCGTGTCTCCCTTCTTTCGTATATGGCACGAGCGAAACGCCAGTTTTGGAAACGCGCGATAGTTGAATGCTAGGTTTATTCGATCAATCCAAGGA